TTTTATTGATAAGTCTCCTTTTTAAGTTAATGTTAATTAAAAATTATTCTTCTGTCCGATTACGTACTGACGACATCCACTCTGTAGTTTCAAATAAAACAATTATTTTTTAAAAAGACTTTTCTTCCGTCGAATAACATAACCCAAGTAGCATTTGGACGTTATCTAACGTCGGGTATACGTCGCGTTCAATAACCCCGACGTCGGGTACCAACGTCGGTTCGACCACCGCCTGACGACCCTTATTTGCACCTAAATGGGGAATACAGATTCGGGTCGCCTCGACGTCGGTATCTGATCTAATAGGGAATGTAATTCTACCAATTACCAACGTCATATTACGTTGGATTTCAGTTACTTAAAATTCGTCGCTAAGCACTTACGTTACGTTTGGTTTCAAATTCGCTACCAAGAATACATAATAACCTAATCAAACTACCTAATTACAAATGGATTCATAATCACTCCTCGAATATAACTATAAGTGTCTACGTAATTTCATATTATAATAATTCTGAATCATTAATCCAGACATCAGTTTTGTCAACGGAAGTCATTTTTTTTATATATCTGAATAAAATACTCCGGAAAACAACGAGCGCTTTCAAAATTAGGTAGATTTATGAAATAAAAATATCTATAAAAAAGTAAAATATTCTTTTTTTATTTTCTAACTGGTTTAATCATAAAACTGTACTGTGGTTCCCCCCAAACTCAACCTTATCAATATTATTCTACTAGAAATCGGAATGTGAATATAAATTAAAAAAAAAAAACGATTTTAAAATGATTGACAATCGAATACTTGTTAAGAATGGCGGATTTCTGTGTCTGACTTAATATGAACTACCAATATACCAATTCCAACCGGGTCTCCAACATTAGTCATCTCATTAATGACCGAAGTCAGATAAACCGGACGACGGGCAATCGTATTAAAACGTATATACGTCCAACATACGCCACGTAACCTCACTGTGCGTATCAGTGATTTGTGGATTTGTGCAAACCATATTTTAAGTTTTTGTTTTCGTCCTTAAAAAAATAGATACCTTTAAGATAGTAGTATATATACAAATTTAAAAGAATTGGAACCAGTACCTCACATGTGGAAGAGGAGGATGGGGCTTCCATGCGAAAAAAATGAAATTAAAGATACACCAGTGCTATGCAGCTAAAATTACATATACTGTTGTATTTAATTTTTTGAAAAAAACGCTATGTTTGTTAAGTTGTAGAAAGCGCCCTCCTAGCGGCTACGTTCAAAACTATATTATCATTTTTATTATACATATAATATAGAGATGAAAACGCTCTTTTAAACGAGCCTTCTTTTGTTGTAGTTCTGATCATAGAAAACGCTCTTTTAAGCAGGCCTTCTTTTTTGTTGGATTCTGATCATCCAGTCCGGAGTTATTAATATTTAAATAAAGATTAGATCTAACCTTCCCCCACTACTTTATTTTAGCAGATAGGGGAAAATGGTTCTAACAAAAAAATCCAAAATTTACTGAAGATTATGAAGCTATTATTTGTAGTACCCATTATCTAGGCAAAATTCTGTAAAAATTATATTTTTTATAGTTTGTTTACAAAAACTTTTTATTAGGTTATGTTCATGATGTTCATTAGGCCGCAAATGCTACTTAATGGGTTGTATTTACGGACGTAAATAGAGATACGTAAATTAGGTTATAAATATGAACATAAAATACAACAAAATATAATTGGACGTTACTTTAAGGATTATCAGTGAGACGTATCCTATTCGGACAACGGGTAGACGTCGGGCTAGTTCAAGTATATGTACGTCGTGCAAGCCAACGTGGGAACGACGCACGTTGGGAAATTAATAAAAATGGTACGTTGTTATTTTGTACGTCGACAGATCGTTGGATTTACCGACTCGGATCCAACGACGTCGCTTTTAATAGGAAAGCGACGTCACCGGTCGTATCACCAGCACCCGACCTAAATCTGCACAAAGTCTGACGTCGCTTCAGGTCAGATTTAGTTCGAAGTCAGATAGATGCTACTTGGGAATTTAGGTAAATATTATACTAACATGGCTATAGTCTTGTTCAAATTCAGTTTTGGTAGGTTAAATAAGATTAATAATACTTCAAAATATTTTCATTAGGTTAATAATACAATAGTCATAATTTTTGCTCTTATGAAAGTCATTTTATGATAAAAGTATTTTGTTAAAACTAGTAGCTGGTAAGTAATAATATAAACTCATGTTTCTCCATATCCAATTTCAAATACTCTCCCGACACGGTTATTTAAATTTAAGTTTCGCTGAATTTCACTGCCTTATTTACATCGACAGTCGACACTGCTCGATATTTCAGTGGCTGAAAACTAAATCCTTGACAAACGAGTTCAGGAACCGAATAGAAATGCCATATTTATAATAAAAATAAAATTGATGCGACGTTAAAAACAGTGACAAAAGGGACCCCTTAAACCACCGAATATCGCCAGGTCATTTTTCACAGCGAGCTAAAAAATTGATAGGGTATTTACTGAGAAATTTGAATCGATATCGGAAGAGGATGATAAATCATCTCGCTGTTAGGTAGTCAAACAGTTGTAATTACTTCTGGAGGTAATTACATCTGTTTTACTTATTAGTATAATCGCATAAAATGTAATTAATTTTATAGATGATAATTTCAATTTAAAATTATTCTTAAAAAATTATTATTTTATATTTTAGAAAGCTTTTAATACAAAAAATGTTCATTTTTTAATTCTCGATTTATTGAAAAAATAATATACAGGGTGTTAATATAAAAAAACGAAGCAAAATTATTTTATATTTTAGAAAGTTTGGCATAGAATTTTGAACATCCTGCATGATTTACGATTACCATATCTATATCAAAGTTAAGTACAGGCCATCTAAAGTAAATACCTAATATAGTTTTCATTTCAGAACCGTTCTTGTATTTTTAATATTTTTTTAAGAAAGTCTGAAAAATATGTATTTATTATTTATTTATTAATATCTCTAAAACTTGCTTGCCTCATCCACGTTACCGTAGATGGAGCTCAGAAGGCTTAGGTAGGGTATATATAAATAAACAAAATACGAGTAGTAAACAAAATACACGTATAGTCAAAAAGTAACGAATTGAAATACCTTTTCACTAGTGAAATAAAAAAAAGTGTATTTCTATTTGAATAAAAGGACTTATGATAATTTTTTAATCGCTCAATTCCATGACATTTACCGCCATGATTATATGGCATTTGAACAATTTAATTTTTGAAATAGATAGCCACATGTCTTTTCTTTATATCACACTGTGGTAATCACTAAATTTGACGCTTAGGCTATACACCTATTTTTGAGAGGCAGTTTTTTTTTGTCCAAAAATTTTAAATATTTTTTTTTTATCAAAAACAGTTAATGTTAGGTTAGAGAGTTTAATATCAAAATTCATAAAATTTACAGAGCATTAATAATTTTACTACAGAGTATTTAAGTATGTAATAAAAAATGGGGGTACCCATTTAAAATAATAAAGTTGCTGTGAACTTCTGGTATTTCCGGAAGTGCCGCCATATTGAAAATATTTTTAATCGATAGATCTCGTTGTGAAACAATGACGTGCAAAAAGTCTCCGATCTAGATATTGTAGTTCTCTAGAAACTTCTAATGCACGCTCAGCCTGGGACACCCTGTATAATGATAAAATTATGTTTTATGATAAAAATAAACAGAAAATAGCAAAGTGAAATGAGAAGTGCTAAAATTAGACATTAAAAAAATTAAAGAGGAATAAAAAGCCAATTAATTCGGTATAAATGAAACAATTGGTACTTTTTAGAATGACAAAAGGAAAATTTAATCCTCAATTTTATTATGTTTTTGTCGAGATCTCGGTCACGTCCTTTGAACGTTTCGAATTCTCGCACCCGCTGCTTTTATTGATGGACAAAAAACTTTTGAATTTCCAGCGATCGTAAAAAAGTAAATAAAATTAACGGTCCTACCTGTCGTAATTTTCAGCTATGTAACAAATGAGAATTTTAGGAACAAATGAAACGCGATTAAAGAGAAACTTCTTTTTTCTCGCTTACTCTTCGTAATCTGTAAATTGTGAAGAATTTAAGCTGAGATGATTGAAGTATCTACTTGTGTCGTTAAATTGCACTTGGAAGTATTGAAAATTTGTGAAATTAATAAACAGTTTTTAATACTTGCATATGCGTGCCAATTTCAAAGATGTATATTGACGCGAAATAACCCTCGAACACTCAGAAATTACTTTTTGAAGTGAAACTTCTTTACGCGCGATGGGAGTAAAAATTCCAAGGCCTCGACACACGGCCTTGAAAGACCAAATCCGTTATGGTTGATAATTGTTTTTTATTTCAGACTTTTTAGTTCGTTTAATTTAATAATTACTAAAAACAGCAGTTCCAAAAATATATTTAAAAATAAAAGACAAAAATCCAAAGTATTAATTTTCTATTAACATGGATTTGGACGATAATAGGTAAGAACACTAAATTGACTTCTACTAAGGGCTGGCAAAAGTTAGTTTTGGGTCGAGATTTCTGTATGTAAGAAGAGTACAATGCGTTTATAGGGGAGATTGTCCCAGTGCGGGACACCAAAGCTCTTTCCCTTCTATTTTTTTGAAAAAAAAGTCTATTACAAAAATTTAGTCTGCCATTGGTAGAAGAAAACCTAATTAATATATGGTAGTAAATTTAAACCGATATGAATTCAAATAGACAGTGAAATTATAAATTTACGGCAGTATTGCTAATCACTTTGTAAAAAAAACTGTTCCCAGTACCGGACAATATATATTTTGAATATTAAACCAGATAAATAAATTTACAAAGCTTTTATTAGAACAGATAAACGGAGAGATTACAAGAAATAATACTACTCTTACTAATTCATACTTCTTAAAAAGTTATTGTATGCAATGGTCACAAATAAAGTAAAGGATATTATCATTATCAGCACACTCTACATGAGCCCACCCATCACGTCTTGAACATTGGACCCAGTCCTCCTCAAAAGTTTCACCGCAAATGATGCACTCGGTTTTGTTAGAAGCCTTTTCGTCTGTTTTCTTTTCTTCAGCTTCGTCTATTAGGTTTCGTTTAACAGATAGAAACTTTTCCAGATTTGGTATTGATTTTGTGTTTTCATTATTTCTTCGACTCTGTTTTGTTATACTTTGTTGCTTTGCTTTCTCCTGTTTTTTTAACTCGACCTGCTGTTTTACTTCTGCTTTGTCTTCAAGCATTTTTTTATATGGTGTAGAAGTTAATATTTCGCTTTTTTCTCCTTTCCTTTTCCTTGATATTATTTTTCTCTGTAGATGATAGATTCTCTTTCTCTGTCTCATCGTCGACTGACTGAAAGAAGTTCATTGTTTTGTCGGTAAATGTGGAGATTTCCACTTTTCTTCCACTTTTTTCATTGTAAACTTCAGGTATGGAGGGAATCGACCCATCAATGATTGAAGATGAAATATTTGTTTCTTTATTAGGAGATCAAACTTACGGTAAAACCAACAGAAGAAGAAGTTAGTAGTTCCGTTGATTTACTTGTGGAAACGGAGGGAACTATTTTGTCAAATGAAGACTGGTTTAGAGATCCGGAGTCTAAGCTAGTAGACGGGGTTAGTGAATTGTTTTTAGGTTCATGGTTCTCTTGATTGTCGGCTTCTAATATTTTTGTAGTGTTTGGAGCAGGAAGAAAATCTAGTTCTGTAAAGATATTTTTGTTTAAGAGATATATCCTGTACATTGGAAACGCAGATTGTGCCAATTCCATTCTACAAATTTTTGAAAATGCAGTTCCAACTAAACCACTGATTTCTTGGACAGTTATTTTTAAGCCTAGTCTTCCGTATTTGCTCATCCAGACCTCACATGCTGCATTAAATGCACCTTTAAACGGTTTCATAATAGCTCTGTCCAAAGGCTGCAGTTTGTGTGTCGTGTGAGGGGGCAAACTTAGCATGTGAACGTAGTGTTCTTTTGCATATAAAATAACTTGCAGATCTTTATGTGTGCTATGGCCGTCCAATATTAAAAGAATTGGGGTTTCGTCAGTCGGATTAACTCGATCCACGAATGCATTTAACCATTTTAAAAATCCTTGGACGGTTATCCATCCACTTGGATGAGCGACAAAAATGCTTCCAACCGGTGCATCTTTCGTAAGTTTAACATCAATTCTTTCCCTTGGAAAAACAAATAAAGGTGGTATAAATTGGTTTCCTGCAGCATTGATACAAAGCATTACTGTTATATTTTTCCCTCTTTCACCAGATGTTAGTTTGCTGACCTGTTTTTTCCCCTTTAATGACAAAACTTTTAGTGCGTTAGAATATAACACAGGTACGCCGGTTTCATCGCAGTTAAAAATTCTACTTGGGGAAAACGAATATTTCTCCATCGGGTTCTCCAGCTTCTCAAAAAAGGCCTCAACTTGTTTCTTATTAAATCCTTGCGTTCTCTGAAGGCTAGTTGATTGGGCAGAACACAACGAAAATTCTGGATGCCGGTTAATAAACCCACGATAAAATTTATTTCCGGCTGTCTTTTTTTTTACTAAATTGATGCTGTAATTTGAAATGCTCAGCAAGATCATATGCTAACGTTAAAAATTCCTTTTTGTTGACTGGTAAAAAACGATTATCCAAATCCTTAAGGTGTCCCACTAGTTCATTTTCTAAGTCAACATTAAATGTATTTTCAAATCTTCCTAATGTAGGTGTCATTTTAACGGCATTTCCTTTTCGGAGAGTCGTGACCCTGTCTCCTAAAGAACTTTTAGGAACAGAGAAGTGGAACGCTGCCTCTCTAATGCTATATTTCCCTGACAGTCCATGGTCCACAGCCTTTTTCATGCTCGTTTCATCCCATTTTCCCTTTTGTTTATTTAGCATGATTGATATGCCTGAAACAACAAATAATAGTAATAATACGGCTATAATCTGCCTATCACGATCAATTATTTTTTGTCCGGTACTGGGCAATGTACGGGTGTCCGATACTGGGGAAATGTCAGCGAAAGATAAAATACGCATTGAACATAACCTAGAAATAATTTCGTCCGTTTGCGCATGTGGTTATAGTCCCCAATAATGTAAGTTGTTATATAAGTTATTAGTGAACTACTAAACTTACCTTTACGTATTATATAAGGGGCCTAAAGTTTAGTCGAATCACTTGAAAACACCCACGTAAACACTTAATCACAAATATCTCGACAATGACATGAAATAAATGGAAATGGCGCGAAATATGTAACGTACATATAACGTTTTAACTGATTTTAATAGGGAGTTTGGTTTGGTTTGTCACAACCAAGCCAATTCATATGGAAACCAGAAAATCCAAAGTGTCCGGTACTGGGAACTGTCCGGCGCTGGGGCAATCTCCCCTAATGTACTGAACAAAGAGGGAACAGTAAAAACGTTGCCAAACGTATGAAATAAACGGAGAAACTGTACCGGGTGTCCCACTAAGAATAGCTCTCGGCTGTATCTCGGAAAGTATTAGCCGTAGGGCCTACGGAAAAGGATATTTATAACTAAAGGGGCTATCAGAAATTGCTGGAAATTATTTTCAAGTTTATAAAACGGCCGCTAGAGGGCGCAACTGCTATGGAAAATAAGAAAATACAATTTTTACAGAATTTTGCCTAGATAATGGGTACTATAAATAATAGCTTCATAATCTTCAGTAAAATTTGGATTTTTTTTGTTAGAACCATTTTTCCCTATCTGCTAAAATAAAGTGGTGGGGGAAGGTTAGATCTATCTTTATTTAAATGTTAATAACTCCGGACTGGATGATCAGAATCCAACAAACGAGTGCTCGTTTAAAAGAGAGTTTCTTACTCTATATTATACCATAAAAAAATAAGGTTTTGAACGTAGACGCTAGGGGGCGCTTTCTTACAATTTAACAAACATAGCGCGTTTTTTCAAAAAAATTAAATACGATAGTATATATAATTTTAGCTGATAGTAAAGAGTAGGAAAAGCTTAAAAAGTCAGCAAAAAAACGCATCTTGATATCTTCTTTCAAACCGAAGATATTAGCAATATTTAATATAATATTATATCACTTAAAAACTGTTGGGAAGTTGATTATTTGTCATGCCAATGGAGAAAAGTATGCCAATTGTAACAGAAGTAATTCTAAGGGTAAAGTTTATTATAATTAGTGACTTGTGCTATATACTTTTTATATGTAGTTGTTTCAGGTTTTGATAATAAATCGGTTGAAAAAAAGGAAATACATATTCCTTAGTTTACTGGTTTCCTAACGATTAACATTAATTTAAAAATAAATCCCTATATGAATAATGAACAAAACATTTAAACAAAAAGAGACCACAGGCCACACAAAACAAATTGGTTAGTACCGTATGATCGAATAAAAACGGCGTCAACGATGGCTATGAAATGAAGATCGCTGTCATTTTATATGTAAAATTATATGGGAAATGTCATCGATCGTCATTTGCTAGCCAACTGGACGCCGTTTTTTTTCGATCATACGGTATTAGTAGCAGTTAGTAGTAGTCAGAGATATAAATGTAGAGAATTATCGTTTTTTAATTAAAATTAAAAAAAAACATTATAAACGTAGAATAGTATACTGTTTTATATTAACTCTAATTTTTTTGAAGTTCATAAAAATATACAGGGTGAGTTTCCTACGATGTTCTCTATGGGTATCTCGAAAACTACTGAAGATAGAGAGTCGGTTAAATGGGGAAAAATTGCAGTTTTGTGGGATCATAAATATGCGCCTTTCAGATTTTTGAAAAAGTTCATGGCTTACTAGATATTTCGAAAAAAACAAATTTCGGCTATTTTAAAAATTGTCCCTAATTCCATTATAAGCTATTTTACACAAAAAGTTTTCAGATAAAAATTGTAGATAATCACATCCTTAATGAGATTGTGTCCTCCGTTTTTCTCTAAAGCCTGTCATATTTGACATATGACACAAATATATGTTTTTTTAAAGGGAAACCATAGTTGGCCATGACTTCTTAAAAAGCGCCATTTTTTAAGCTTTTCGGCGATATAAGGTATAATATGTTTTATTCGAAAGATTACTGAGTAATAGCCAATTCTTATAATTTTTAAACATTTTCACTTAGTTAGCCATGGAAACAAGTTTAATCATCTTTGCTCTTAGAAATGTGAAGCTGTTACATCCAAACTTTGTAAATTAAAGTAAACGAAAATTGTAAATATGAATTTTTCAAATGAAGAAAAGCGTGTAGGATTATCGGTTCAACTTTTCTTGACCATACATTTTCGAGGATACGTTGACCGGTGAAGGTGACGTTTTTTACAGAACGGTTTTCAAGACATGTTAGAAAAGTTAAATTTAGTTATAGCCAATTTTTATCTTTCTTGACTAATTTCACTTAGATTGCATGGTATTCTTATTCGGTTATGATTTATAACTTATAAAAAGTCGGAATATCTTATTAAATGGTTCAACATTACAACAATTACAATTTACATTACACAAACTAAATCTTAAAAAAATAATATCACTACATACACTTTAAGTTGTTTCAGAAAATGTTCAAAAATATCGCCATTGTTTTGAGAGTTGCATCTTTTTAAAACTGAATTACTACCTATTCTTACAGAAGAACCGGTCGACTTAATTAAACTTCTTCTCGTACCGCTACTTCGAGTGACTCTTAATTCATAAGGTTTTTTGTAAACCTTCTTGTTAAACATATCGCATATTTACATGAGGCTACATAATTATGATATAAATAATGTTTAACATTTCTTTCATTATGGGGGGGGGGTCATAATGAAAGTCATGTTGGAACCACTCTATTGATGCGCGAGTATCTACACGCTTTTCTTCATTTGAAAAATTCATATTTACAATTTTTGTTTATTTTAATTTACAAAGTTTGGACACGGCAGGCCGACTCGCTTTGGCGGGAACGCTACGCGCATACCCTCGCGCACGCCGCCATTCGCGTTTCCATCAACAGAAAGTAACCAGTGTCGTAGTTTTTTCAGCGACAACACACAGTTACGGCAGATTCGAGTCAGTAGCGTGCGGCTTATTTTATTTTGATTTTTTCTTGAGTGATATATTTTGTTTTTGTTGTTTTATTTTTATTTATTATGTGATGTATTTGGTTTTTCTAGTTTTATTTTCGTTTCTTATGTAATATAATTGCCAATAGGTGTCCGGTGGCGTAGAGGTACAGGCTCTCGTCTACCAATCTCAAGGT